TCATAGAGAATCCCACATGAACAGATTAATGGCTATTCATGCTAGATTTGTTATGCCATACAATAAAATAATACGTCTTTCAATAGGATTAAAAATGACATATATAATACATGTCTATCACGTATTCTCTTTCTGCGTAAGCAACATAATGCAGAGTACAACGAAGGAGTCAGAAGAAATGAAAGAAAAGCAGAAGGAAAAAATGGGTTTAGTCTGTCTCTATTCACTAGTACTTTCCAATCCTCTCTATGCTTCCAAATAATCTTTGCTTGCATTGTGGCCACATCCTGCCCTGTAAATGGTCTTTTCTTTAAATTTTCACCTCCTTCCAGAGGATCTCATTAATTCCAGCCAGTCACAACTTCCTCAGTCTCCCCTTTCCTCTTTCTCCATTCATGGTTCCTTTTTATTAAAAAAAGGTGCTGAGATCAGAAGTTTATATTTTTAGCACTAGGTTTGAGACAAAGGCTGTTGTCAGTAAAGATTCTAGCACAATTTCAGTTGTATGGCTGAATTGCAAGCCCAGTCTGAATCTTTAGAAATAACTGTCAGACCAAAAGCAATGATTCATCAAATAATCTTTCCCAAAGGCAAAGTAAGAAACAAAAAAATTTAGATTATAAAAATAAGTCATCTACATTTCAAATCAGCTGATGTTTTAAAACCAAGAAGTTTACTGTTTTATCTGGTAGAGATTGTTTTTAAATCTTTTATTGAGCCCATTGACTGCACAATACCCTGTTTAAATAGATCAGATCTAACTGCAACAATAGCTCCAGTTTTAAAATGCACTCGTAATATTTTTTTCCATTTAATTTCTAATAGCTCTCTGATCTTTGAACTCATTCAGATAGCGTACTTTAACTGGATCTGTTCAGCAATAGCACATCTTGTAAACTGTTGATACTTCTTCAAAGCTATAATATACAGACTAGATATAATTTAGTCTGCCTCCCAATCCAGTTCATTTATCCTGTAAAATAAGTTTAGAAACATTATAGTGAATGACTGGTTTGAAGAAATATAATATTTTCGTGCATAGGATTGTCTTTTAATTCTTAAATTCTATTATCTGTGTTTTCAAGTAATTTTCTCATTAGAATATCCATTAATTATAATTTCAGTTTTGGAAAATTATGTCATGGTTTTTTGAGATACTTTTTTTTTACACTGAATATATTTAGCACATCACCTTTTAATTATTTTCATCATGGCTTCTTTCCTTCGGAGTGAGAAGCAAATTGTTAGAAACTTGGAAAATTAGAGAGTTTAGAGATAACCAGTTTTTGGTAGAAGGAATGAAATCTGTTTTAATGCATTAATAAATTCACAGCATTTAAAATCCTCCAAAAATAGAGGACTGTTGATGATACTAACATGGCATGCAAGTTCCTTACAGTATTCTCATGATACACCATGATTCCTTCAACGGTGTTATCTTTTATGGTGACATTGATAGAAAGAGTTTAAAAGGAAGTCACTATATTTGAATTTATTTGCAGAATAGAAACAGATCTTAAGTTAATCAAACAAAATCTAATATATCATAGAAAAAGAAATATTTAATTGAAACTAAGGTAGCAGAACAGAATAAATAAAACAGAATATGGACCATAATCAATAACTATGCTAATTAAAATATGTATTCACTTCCAAGGATAAACTATGCAATCATTGGAATACAGCCAATCTAAGCAGATGGGTTTAATTTGTGCCCAAAATTTTAGCTAAAAATGTATTTCTAATGTTCAATTCCGCACACATAAACAGAAGTATTTTAACCATTTAACCCATAATGTTAAAACTAATAAAACCATAGTAAATTTTATATAATAGAATCAGTTCTAAATACTTTTACATACATTTGAGTTGACAACTAACTAGTTTCCGAACCGTACAAACTTTAGAGATGTAGCAAGGTGACTATTGTTCAAGGGACTTGAAACAGTCACTTGAACATTTATTTTGACTCCCTGAATATTATCTTATTAAGATTTGTTTGTTTTGTCCTACTTTATTGCCTTTAAAATTTACACACTAATGTAAATAGTGCAGGTTGTGATACATGTCTCCCCTATTCCTTCTTTTCATTAAAGTAGACATACCCAGCTCCTGCAACCGTTCCTCATGTTTTAGTCTCCAGTCCCCTAATCATCTTTGTTGCTCTTCTCTGCACTCTTTCCAGAGTCTCCACATCTTTTCCACATCGTGGCGAGCAAAACTGAATGCAGTATTCCAAGTGTGGCCTTACCAAGGCATTATAAAGTGGTATTAACACTTCACGTGATCTTGATTCTATCTCTCTGTTTATGTAGCCTAGAACTGTGTTGGCTTTTTTGCCAGCTGTTGCACACTGCTAGCTCATATTTAAATGGTTGTCCACTAGGACTCCAAGATCCCTTTCACAGTTACTACTACTGAGCAAAGTACCACCTATACTGTACCTGTGCATTTCGTTTTTCTTGCCTAAATGTAGAACCTTACTCTTTTCACCATTAAATTTTATTTTATTAGATAGTGCCCAATGTTCAAGTTTGTCAAGATCCTTCTGTATTTTAAACCTATCTTCTGGAGTGTTGGCTATTCCTGCCAGCTTGGTGTCATCTGCAAATTTGATGAGTTCCCTATTTATTTCCTCATCCAAATCATTGATGAAGATGTTGAAGAGTACTGGCCTAAAACAGAGCCTTGGGGTACTCCACTGCATACTTCCCTCCATGTAGATGCAGTTCCATTGAGGACTACACGTTGTGTGTGGTTGGTCAGCCAGTTACAAATCCATTTGGAGGTGATGCTGTCTAACCCACATTCTTCTACTTTATCTAGTAGTAGGTTATGGTCTACCTTATCAAATGCCTTACTGAAGTCCAAGTAAACTATATCGACGGCATTCCTCTGGTCCACTAATTTTGTCACTTTGTCAAAGAATGCAATAAGATTAGTCTGGCATGATCTGTTTTTGACAAACCAATATTGGCTTTTGGCTTTTGTTTACTTCTAGGTGTTTGCTAATTTGTTGCTTGATTATCTTTTCCAGAATCTTTTCTGGTATTGAGGTCAGGCTGATTGGTCTGTAGTTTCCTATTTTTTTTCCTTTTGTGAAGATGTGACAAGATGGGAAATCATGTGAAATAGCAACAACCTATCTAATCTGGCTATAATAAACTAGGTTTATCTGGTTAAACTAAAGACAATATTACTAAAAATCAGTTCATACCAATGTTGCTGGGCTCAGCTGAGTGTCAATTCAACTATAAATCATACATTGTGAACAATACTATTTTTAATTTGTTTCTAATAATGACAAAATGGTTAAGGCACCAGGCTAGAAACCAAGAAACCATGAGTTTTAATGCCATTTTAGGCATGAGGTCATCTGGGTGATGTCGGACCAGTTGCTGTCTCTTAACCCCAGAAAGAAGGCAATAGCAAACCTCTTCCAAAAAAACTGCATAAAAGATGCTGTGGGTATCTTCAATCTTTCCTCACATTGATCAGATTATTGTCCAAAAACTAGGTTATTGGTTTTCTCAGGATAACAATTATCTTAATTTATTCTGGCAGATATATTTGATTGTATAATGTGATTCCCCCCCAAATAACTTTCTAACATTTGAGAGTATACCCTGATCACACAACTCTTTTTGATTGCCTTGAATAGGCCAGATATAAATCATATACATTTGTTTTTCCTTTCATCTAGTTACCCTATATTGTCTAAGTTGATCAGTTCTGCCATTTTCCTACATTTTCACAAACTTTCATGTGTTTCCTGGCCTACTTTTCAAAGCTGATTTTTGTAATATTTTTCACATCATATTTGGATATTTAGGTAATTTCTCCTTTTTATAAATATTTGTATTTTTAGGTTAGCATTTTGAAAAATAGTGAGTTAGTTTTCACATGCTAGAGAGCAAGTATCCCAATATCTTCATAAAATGAATAATCACCATTCTATTTTAGTGCTGCAAAGCAGATATGCAATGGGAAATTTACAATTAAAATTTGTTGAACTCCTTAATTTTTCAGAGCTTGCATATCATTAAAATCTTTTCACTTTATATAAAAAGCAATTCCTTCTTAGTTCTCTATTCTTAAAAAATGAAAGTTAACACTATATATTTACAAAAAAAACCTTAGTTTAATTGCTACAAACATACAATAACACTCTTAATAGTGATTGAAATTTAAAAGTTACTATGAGCACCATAACATTATAGATAAAAATATACAACCTAGATAAAAATATTCCAAAAATTAAAATCAAGTCTCAGAAGGCTTACTAGGATATCAATGGTATATTCATGATAGTTTACTTAACAAACAGACTTAAGCCTAAATATTTCAGAACTGTATTTACAAAGAATTACAGAATTAAAAATAAATTAATACTGTTCCCAATTTCTACTGCTAAAATTTCTGGCTTTTCTCAAATTGGAAGTATTATTACCAGTTGTTCAGTAACATATACCTGAATCAAAGTCATTTCTTGCCATTATAATTGAATAAATTTTAATACTAATTATGATTATAGTATATATCCAATCTTCTGGATTCAGACATTTGAGAAAATCACTGTATTTATTGGAGTCTAGAAATAAGTATTTTAGAGAATTCAATTCATAGATAAACTTCATTTACTTAATATCATGACTATTCAGATAGAAAGGTTACACTGTATTTTGAAAATAAATTAGGCCAGTAATTTTAAAGAATTGTCACTTATATATGAAGAATAGCAATCAAGAATGTGATCCCAACATTTAATCAACTGCAGGTACCATTTTCAATCATTAATACTTTCAAGACTGACACTTGTCATGTCCAACTCCGACAATTCACAATATTCCAAACTGTTAAAAGTATTTCCACAATTTACCTCAATCTGTAAACATTTTTTAAAAGAAAATATACTGCATAAATTATACATTACTTAATTGAACTTCATCTTTTACTTTCTGTTCATGTAACTCAAGGCAGCTGGAAATGGTATCACTCTGTAGCATTTGGGGGGATGGAAACTGTTCCAGAAGTGAAAGAAGTTGATGACTCCTGGAGAAAAACTGGTCCATAATCCTAAATTTAAGCTTTCCCCAGAAACGTAGACTCCTGCTGATTTTCCCGCTGATTTTCACTAACTTCTGGTTTCAACTTTTGAGTCAGACTGTAATCTTGCACCTTGCTTTAGGTTTCAATCACACATACTTAAATGTGATTGCTATGGAGATTAGCAATTTTACTTCAAAGCTGAAGAGATAAACAGCAAACGAAGAATGTAAACAAAACAGAAGCTTACTTGAAGAGTTAGTTTTCAATAGGAGCACACAGAAGAATAGTCCAAATACAAGCCAGAGTTCCAAGAGCCAGGTCAAGGTTGTTAGTTAGCCAAGAGGTCAGAAGTTCAAGGTTTCTTACAAACAGAATTTATAGGAACATCATATAAGAGCCAGGGATCAGATATTTTCAGCAACATGGATCAAAGGTGCTTCTGAGTTTCTCTTTCTGGCCATCTCTTTTCTCTCTCTTTTCCTCTCATCTTCCCAAATTCGGGGAAATTGGGTTAAGGATCACAAAACATTAGATACAACAAAATATACAGATTTTAACTAAAACTAGATAAAATTAGAATAAAGTGCTCCTTCCTTCCTCAATTATTCTATATACATAGGTAGAAAATTGAAAATTTGATTTTTGTTTCTTTAATGTCAGCTCTTAACATAAATACTGCTGATCAATAAGGCAAACCAACGAGTCTTTTGAGTAATTTGATAGACATCCACAAATAAAAAGGCAGCTAAATTGTCTCTGCTTAAAAACTGACCACCATAGGCACTATACACATTTCTCTAACAAATTTCTCCCAAGTCATATACCATATATCTTAAAGTACATAACACATTTTACTATTTAAAAAATCTCTCATGAAACTCCTGAAATGATTTCAAGAGGTGGAAAGCTAGATTCAACATGACCATTATATTCAATAAGCACGGATATAAAAATATCACACTGAATTCCAAAGTTGATGAGAAAAAATGTTTTAACCGAATGTAAGCATTTAATGTGAACTATATCTACAGAAACCATTAAGTGTGAGGTGATAGTTTGTATATGTATTTTATACATACCAGGTAGTAGTTGAAGCTAATCAGTAAAGTTTATCTGCTTTATGAATACTCTCATGAACCTGCCCAAGTTTATGTACAAATTGCAATTATGGACTCAAAGCACCATGTCATCTTAACAGGTATTAGAAAAAGCAATCTAACATTTTTAATATGCAAATATTTTTTAACTTCAAAATATAATAATAATTAGTAAACCAAAGTAAATTATTGTTGTGCAGTTTTATCAGTGTTATACAGTAGACCAGAGATTGTATACCATCTGCATTCTTTAATCCAGATTTGTCTATTTCTTTGTCTTGCCACTCACATACAATATAGGGAACAGAAATCCTTAAAAAGGAAAGAAAAAATAGCAAAGAAAACAAAACACGATAAATCCCAAGACCCAGTTGATGGCATAAATGTAGATGATCACCATGTCCATGTCAAATCGCCATCCACGGCTATCGTCCTCAAAGTCCATATAATCCATTCTGTGAGCAGCATGTGGAAAATGCCTTCGTGTGAAGGAGTCTGTACTCTGAAAACCTGCTGAATAAATATAATAATTTGATAAAACAGTTTATGGAAAATAATTTTGTTTTATAACTTTTACAACTATGTATGCCCAATACATGGAAATGAAAATGCACAAAGGAAAAGAAGGAAACTTGTGTGAGTTAATTTAGTGGCCCCCAACCTTTTGGGCACCAGGGACCGATTCTGTGGGAAGAGCTTTTTCTATGGACCTGAGGGGGCAGTGTTTTGCATGCTGCGCACCGGGGGTTGAGGGTTAATTGATGGTTTCTATACACTTTACTAGAAATGAAGAATGAAGTAGGAAAGAACTTTCAATCAAAAATCCTGTAGCAGTAGAGCAATAGCACTTAGAGTTATATACAACCCATAGTGTTTTACAATAGCGATCCCCAACCTTTCTGGCTCCATGGAGCAGCATTGGTGAGAGCAGCAAGCAGTGGCTGGGTGGATGATTTTGCATGCACAATCTAGATCCCCTGCTTGCACAAATAAAGTTTCACACACTCACCTGCCTCTTGTGCGGTCCAGTTCCCTTTATTAAATGAGACTTCATTGTGCAAGTGAAGTGTGATCTCAATATACACTACATTGCCAAAAACATTCTCTCACTCATCCAAATAATCAGAATCAGGTGTTCCAATCACTTCCATGGCCACAGGTTTATAAAATCAAGTACCTAGGCATGCAGACCTTCATATTAGCTCAAGAACAGTGCGCAGAGAGCTTCATGTAATGGGTTCCCATGGCTGAGCAGCTGCATCCAAGCCATACATCACCAAGTGCAATGCAAAGCGTTGGATGCAGTGGTGTAAAACACATCACCACTGGACTCTAGAGCAGTGGAGACGCGCTCTCGGAAGTGACGAATTGCACTTCTCCATCTGGCAATCTGATGGACGAGTCTGAGTTTGGCAGTTGCCAGGAGAACGGTACTTTTCGGAAAATG